TCCTGGAGTGTCCTTTTAATAGGCAGACACCCCCCCCCCCCCAATACCTCCTAATCATGCTGCTTTTCCACAATGACAGCCCTTCCTCATGAGGAGACTTCTCTTCACGCAGAAGGACTCTAATTGCTCCTTTGGCTGTTGTACATAGTTATGGGAGTTCGGATCCTTGCGACACCTGGCCAGAAGAACAAAACTACCTGTGGGATATTGTAGACATAGAGCATAGCCAGTTGCCCTAGTTCTTGCTTCATGTTGACAATAGCCTGTTGATTGTGATTGACAGGGAGAAAGTGGTTTCCCCATCATTGGTTAATGAATCAGAGAGAAAAGATCCTGTGTGGCTCGAACTGAGATTCCCTGGAGTTTGTTTTTAAATAAATCCCCCCTAATTGAGAACAGCAATGGAGGGGGAGCAGAAGGCACATTGTTGTTACTCTGGTGGATTCAGTGGGAAGCTGAGGGCAGCTGCCAGAAGAGTAATGTGAGAGTTCCCCACATTCCTCCACATGACAGCATTTAAAAGGAAACATTTGTCTTTACCCTTGTGCAAAATATATTTTGGGGAAGTGGGGGAGCCTGAAAATGGATCACCATTAGAGGCATAAGGCCAGGGTGTTTCCCTGGTTCTGAAAATGAGAAATCAATGTGGTTTTGTAGATAGCTTTTCGCAAACAAGCAAAACTTGGAAGTATGTGTTCAAACTCATACATACAATTTAGTGCATTTGCCCCGAGTGTAAGGTCTGGACTAAATTCAGCTCTTGGTTCCACCTGGACTGGTTAAATAAATGTGTTAACTTTTCATTCAGCAGTTGATTCAAATGGTGTATTCTAGCTGATACTAGCAATTGGATTTAGCTCTCAGAATGTAAGAAAGAGGCAAAAAGGATTCATGTACAAATCTTCAGCCAGCTTTGAAACTCTGTAATATTGAGGCTATCACTGTTTCTCAAGCTGATATTCCTCATTTGGTTGCTTTGAGAATAAAATGGGGAGTGGGGGCAATTTTATAAATAATAAACAACTAAGTAAATAAATATGTCAAGTTCTTAGAATCCTTTATAAGTAAATGGGCCATGGCACTCAACTGTGTTAATTCTCACAGTGTAGATACATCCTTAGTCACTGTGCTGGGAAAGCAACAAGAAGAGTGTGGACCAATCTTTTGATACCATTGATATCCTTTAATGGATATCCTTTAAGGTGTAGCATTGATATCTATTACCAATGGAGACTGATATTCCTTTGCAGTGATTCTTTACTTACTTGGATGGTTCGCAGAGGGTCCTACTAGGTCATAATTACTAAGCCCTATAGATTCCCTTTGATATTTGTGTCTCAGATTTCTTTCTTTATAGCATTTCCTATGCATAAATTCCCTCGTGGCGCAGTGGGTTAAACTGCAGAGCTGCTGAACTTGCTGACCAAAAGGTCAGTGGTTCAAATCTGGGGAGTGGGTGAGCTCCTGCTGTTAGCTCCGGCTTCTGCCAACCTAGCAGTTCAAAAACTTGCAAATGTGAGTAGATCAATAAGTACCACTTCTGCAGAAAGGTAACAGCACTCCCTGCAGTCATGCTGGTTATATGGCCTTGGAGGACTCTATGGACAATGCCAGCTCTTCGGCTTAGAAATGGAAATGAGCACTACCCCCCAGAGTCGGACACAACTAGACTTAATGTCAAGGGGAAACCTTTCCCTTTCCCTTTGTGCATACAGTAGTTTCCCATGTTGGCCAAACAAAGACATTTTGCTCGCTTAGGTAAAGGACAAGATAGTATTCTCATACCTTTTAACTGTCCCAATTAATCTCTTGTCCTATTTTTCAACTGTTTTTTAAATGTTCCAGTTTCTCTCTCCAACCTCCACTTTTCCACGCTGTCCTCAGTTTACTTCAGTTGAGTTCAAAGTACAATAGTAATTTGCACTCAATTAACTCAGTGGTAGAAAGGGACAGGAAGAGGCAGGATCTTGCCCTTTCTCACAGACTTAGACAAAGCAAATAGCTTATACGTACAGTAGCGGTATATCCAGCTTACATGTTCCTCCTCATTAATGCCTTTTGCCATCCTGAACATGGTATGGATTTGCTTGTCGTCTTATGCCTTCATTTTCATCTGTGAAATGTTGGAGGTTATATGCCCTCTGCTGCCATATAAAACCAAATGGGTTGGTACTTTAATCTGTCTCCAAGGCTGGCAGTGGGACTGTATCCTTCCTTGGGCCTGAGGTTAGTAACCTAGTGTAGGATTTTATCAAGGTATTGCCACAAATATCCCTTTACTTTAGTGTAGTGCTGCTTATTCACTATTCGTCAGAAGGCTACTTCAATATTCGCAATGCAATAATGGCAGTGCTACTGTGCATCGTGTGAGCAGAACAAGGAAGTGGTATAGGTGATGCCTTCTGGCGAGTGTGACTTTGGATGGCAGCCTGTTTGTCTGCCAAGTCTCAGAGCTTTGACAACAATCCTGTCTATAATATGATAGGAGTGGCCAACTAGGTGAGACAGGCTAATAGCCTTAGTGAGCACAAAGCAATCTTTGAAAGAATTAGGGCACAGGTCAGAAAGATGGGAGTGGCCAGGACTCAGAAAGATCAGCCAGAGTGCCCTTGCCCCTTTTTCTTCATGCCCATTTGCAGCCTTGTGCTGCCTCCTTGTAGGATTCCCCACCCCCTCCACTACCCAAAACAGTATGGCTTTAGTAGTGTTGCTACAGAATATGTCTTCATACTATTATCATATAATGATGTTTTGGGGAATTAAATTTATTTATCATGCTGACACAAATGCCACCTCCAAGGCCCATTAAAGCAGCCAGGGCAAGCCAGGGCAATTATTTTGTATGTGTACATGCTTCCCAATTAGGAAACCACTTTTGTGCTGCTGGGAATTGTATTTGGGGACACTGATGGGAAAAGAGGACTCTTCCTGAAGGCAGAGCAACTGATTTTTCAGGTTTGAAGAAGGGGCAATTCTGGCCATTCTTCCAGCCTTTTACCTAGCCTGTATGCCTGAGCTTCAAAGGGAGAACCCTCAACATGCTTCCTTTGCTGGTAAATTGATCGTGGTGCATAGTGCACCACCGTACTGTAGCTCTATGTCCCGCAACTCTCGTAGTTTGGTAGGGACAGTCCTGATCAATCATGTGTTTTCCCACCTTTTACACTGCTTTTAAAATGTCTCAGTTTCTTTTTTCCTCCTCCTACTTTCCCTCTTGGCCTTGGCTTACCTCAAGTGCTGCAAACTGAATTCAAAATGCAGAAGTAGTTTGCACTCAGTTACCTCAGTGCAGGTTAGGAAATCCTATGTAACTTGTGGGAACTATTGCACTCCAAGGTAGAAGTTCCAGTTCTAAGAAGTGGCACAGCACCATCTTGTGGAACATCTATTTTGCACAGGCTTTGCAAAACTGTGTTGATGTTTACTGCAATTAGATTGGATTACTTACAAAATAACTGGGGTTATATATCATCTACTCTTAAGTCAAAATTAGTTTTAAAATGTAAACAAATTTCCTTGATGAAAGCACGAGGGCCTGAATGATTACACCTATATGTTAGCAGGGTTTTTGTTGTTTTCATGTCAGGAGAGACCTGAGAAACTGCAAGTCGCTTCTGGTGTGAGAGAATTGGCTGTCTGCAAGGATGCTGCTCAAGGGACGCCCGGATGTTTCAATGTTTTACCATCCTTTTGGGAGGCTTCTCTCATGTCCCCACACGGAGAGCTGGAGCTGACAGAGGGAGATTTATATACAAAGGCATAATAAAACAGTGTTCCTTATGGCAAATTGCATAAAGAAGGTTTGCTTTTTGAAAGTTTTTTGGGAAAGTATTTTCAAGAAGTGGATAGCTAAATCTATGGAAAGAGAGGGCTAATAGTACTTTGACCTCAGCTTTCATAATGGTATACCATTGGCTGGTGAATAAAATCTACAACATCTGGAAGGCCTAAAACTCTTCATATTTTCCCTCTGATGAAATATCAAGCAACTGTTTTTGGCTATAAACATGATAAAGGTATACTTAGCCAGCTGTATAGACTTAACAATAGGTAGTTACACTATAAAATGTGTTTTTAAACTCAAGACATGAGGATATAATCTTCTAAACATGTAATGCAGCATGCTTAATATCACCATATTGCTAGGTAGGCAAAAGAACAATAATGTATCCTATAGGTTAATAAATAGCTGTTAGACTGTATGAGGAAGCAAATAATGTTTGAATAACAATTCAAATGCAAGGCAAATATAGTGAAATTATAAGGAAAATGCCTTAAAAGATTTTGCATGAAGAAAAGTAACCTCATAGGGCAGTGGTTCCCAACCTTTGATCTTCCAGTTGTTTTGGACTTCAGCTCCAGAAATCCCAGCCAGTTTACCACCTGTTAGGAATTATGGAAGCTGAAGTTCAAAACACCTGGAGGATTAAAGGTTGGGTACCACTGTCATAGGGAATACGTTATGGAGGATAGATGTATTTGTGTTTCAGTTGGGAAATAGTTTAGGCTGATTCTAACGTGTAGCACAATAAGATGGACATAAACAAGATGAGACTGAACTCTTGGAAGTTGACATCTTTGGATACTGAGAAGTTTTAGTTACTGCATTATCAAGACCATGGAGGTTACCAGCCTCAAGATGTACCAATAGAATCAACTATATCACTTTAATTGACAATGATGTCAGTATATCTACTTCACAGAAAAAGTAACAGCACTTCATGCTCCACTGATAGGAGGATGTATATATCTTTCGAACATAATGACTTCAGTAAATAATTTACACATTCACACATATAATATTAGCAAACAGGAATTATGTTGAAATTCACTTTAATGGAATGAAAGTCTGTTTTTTTAAAATAAAAAAGCACAAAATAAAGACAAATAGAAATCTGCTTTAACAGAATAATCAATCATATTACAGTCAAGATCCAAAACCTGTTATTAGACAACACTGCAGACAAATTACTGGTATCTTTTGGGCTGTCTCTTCTTCTGTGGTGTCCTGGGTGCCCACTATGGCAGAATATATGCAAATGCCATTACAGTTAACATATCTGGAGCTGTATGTCCCTCCCACACCTGGTTCCCAATTCATTTAAACAAGACAGCAAGCATAAGCTGAAGTTCCATCAAACCCACTGGTCCATTTTCAAAGTATAATTAGCAGGATGCGTCAGCATGTCAAGCATCGTGATTGCCACACAACAATGTCACAGAAAAGTTGGAGAAGCTACAGAGAAATGGTGTGTTGGTTCCTCGGCAGAGTTGAAACTCACAAGCATTCTCAGTCTTACTTTTCAGATGGATTTACATTCTCTCTCTCAATGTCATTTCATACTTGGGATTCTGTATATATCAACAATAAAAAAAGAGAGAAATAATGTTAGGTATGAAAGCAGTAGTAATATTTTATGGCCTAACAAGACTTATTGGTTAAGTTTTATAGAGTCATGCGTTTTTACTTTTAAAACCATATCTGGATAATCTAGTGCTCTGATCCATGTTGACATACTATAAACACAAAGATACAATCTCTATAACAATACCGTACTCATATTACAGCATTATCTGCTTTTGATATTCCAAATCTCTAATTATTTCAATTCATCCAGTGTATACTCAAAACAAGAAGAATACAAGCAAAGGGCCACTATCAGTCTGTTAAAACAAGTAGGCTTATGCAATTCGGCTGGAGAGTGATCCATTTTTGATAACTGGATTTTGTTGGATACCCAGATCTGTTTTCGGGACCCTCTCAAAAATAGGCTTATGGAAAAATCTATTTTTGGCTAGGCTGCTGAAAGATCCGGGAAGATCTGGCCCATTGGCAGGAATGGGGAATTTACGAGGCTCCTCTTTCCGTTCCGGGGACGCTTTCCTATATTCCTTTCAAGGGAATCTGGGTTTGAAAAACAGGGTTAAGGAAGCACCCCTTCTGGGACTCTTTCTTTTCTTCCTTTCAAGGGAGTCTGGGTTTGAAGAATGGGGTTAAGGAAGAACCCCCCTTTGGACCCTTTTCTATCTTCCTTTCAAGGGAGTCTGGGTTTGAGCAATGGGAATAATCCATGCATACGTAAGCCATGGTCATGACATTTTTCTATTCTGATTGGTCCACCAGGCTGGGCTCACAGGGTAACTCTGTGTGAGCAGCACCCTCTCCACATCATGCATGGTGCTGAATAGGGGAGGAGGAGCCGTGATCAGCTACCACATAGTCCCATTACAGACAAAAAAACATGACGGCGTAGCCCTTACCATTACATCCATCTGACCAAACCAAATAAGATGGATTGGCCAAAGGGAACTGACCAAATCAGTGCACAAGCCTAAAAACAAGGGGTTAACCCCACTTCAAAGATCCACCTTTCGCCTCTTAAATGGTATGCATACTTCAGGTACTGGAACCACCATAGTCTGTGCAGGTTAATGTGTTAATTAATAATAAAATGACTTGTGCTTCTTCATTGATCTAGATAAAGAGATCTTTTTGAAAAATTCAAAGGTCCTCCCTAAGCAGCAACTGGCATGTCCAGGAAACTATACTTTAATGAAGAAGGAATTTTAGTTTCCCACTGGGATTCATTTTCCGATTCCAAATTACATCACAATTCAAGGAGTCCAAACCACGATCAGAGGTTGTCGTTCTTGATCCTGTGACCCCATTGCAACTTTGCTTTTCTTGCTTGAAGCTGTTTGACACTACTTTAACTGTCATCAATCAATGGCATGGAATTGTGGGAATTCCAGTTTAGTGAGACATCAATATAATTTACAGAGAAGACGAAGGACTATCTACACTTACAACTCCCATGACTCCATAGCATTGAGTCAATGCAGTTACAATAATTTCAATCTGCATTCATTCTTCAGTGTAAATGCATTCTTGGTTAGATAGTGGAACTGTCATGGAAAAATTAGGATTGTGGTTCAAATCTGTGGCCCAAGTTTCAGTGGAAATTATTAGCAGCTGGAATAAAGGATGAGATGCATTAATATCTCTCCTTCCCATTTCCAAACAGTTACTTACTTTGTCATCATCATAGTCTCGCTCAGGAAAGTAAGAACTGCTTGAAACTCCTGCTTCATTGCTGAATCTTTTCTGGTCTCCTTGGTCGGCTGTGGCTGTGGCTGCTCTGTTAACCTGATCAGGCCTTCTGAGTTGGATTCTGGGGAAGAGTCTCTCACTTCCAGCAGAAGTTGTGGCAGAGCTGCTTTCTGAAGCCTTCCCTGTGGTTGAATATTCGTTGCCTATCAAACTCTTTCTGTCGGGTTTTGGCTCTCTGTTTTCTCTGTTTCATGGTGAAAGAAGAGGGAAAGAAAGAAAAACAATAATACTTTTTTTTGTCATGTCAGGAGCAACTTGAGAAACTACAAGTCGCTTCTGGTGTGAGAGAATTGGCCATCTGCAAGGATGTTGCCCAGGGGACGCCCGGATGATTTGATGTTTTTATCATCCTTGTGGGAGGCTTCTCTCATGTCCCCGTATGAGGAGCCGGAGCTGATAGAGGGAGCTCATCTGCCTCTCCCTGGATTCAAACCTGCAACCTGTTAGTCTTTAGTCCTGCCGGCACAGGGGTTTAACCCATTGCGCCACTGGGGGCTCCAACAATAATACTATAACAAATGTATTTTTGTACCCTGCTTCCATCTCCCCAAAGGGACTTGGGGCGGCTTACATACGGCCCAATGTGCCTTGAACAACCCATAAAATAAACACACAATACAATTTAAAAAAATAAAATAAAACAAGCATATAAAATACAGATTCTCTATTCCCCCATGATTAGCCCCCCTCCCCTGCTTTAAAATCTGTGCAGTCAGTAATAAAACTGTCCACATCCACATGTATCTGAAGCAAATTCCAACATTACAGGTATGATGAAAGCTGTCAGTGAAATGGTAAAATGAATGGTTCAGAATGTAACTCAGATGCATCCTCATTTAGGCTACTACTGATTTTATGTCATGATGCAACAAAATACATTACTGTCCAGGACAGTATGGGCCCTTCCAGAGAGGCACTATATCCCAGGATATGAACCCAGGTTTTCTGCTTTAACCTGGATTATATGAGTCCCCACTGCCAGATAATCTGGGATAAACAGAAAACCTGGGATCAGATCCTGGGATATGGGGCCTATCTGGAAGGGCCCTTAGACAGGAGATAAGAAGCCAAGTGTCAAAAAGATACCAATGCGTTGAAAATAATGTGACAAATGTTTGAATAATCCATGCATACCTGTGGCATCTGTAAATGAGGACTCCAGTTAAGATCACAATAATAACTCCACAGGCAACAGCCACTCCCACAAGGACTGCCAGGTAATCTGAAAAGATACGTATGTTCAGTTATTATACAATAAATTACTCTTTTTACCCTAAAATATTCTATAAAGTGGGGAAAATCAGTTTTATCAAGAATGCAAATATTTAGAAGTGCACTAAAACTCTCTGGTAAAGTCATTAGGATTTCCAGGCAGAGAGATCTCAAGAGACCAAAAGTAAGGTGTTCAAACAAGGCCCTTTCTAGTTTCTTAGATACTGAGAGTTAGTGATTCAGGCAGACCCATAATGTCTTCATGAAACGTCATTGTAGAAAAGATGTAGGAACTGAATTCTCATTGTACTAGTCCTGTTTGTTTTGGGTGTTGGGGGGGGGGGGTCATTTGGTCCATGGAAACATTATGTGTTATTATTATCACTAGTGATAACTAAATCAGCTGGTCACATTTGCCATTATCTATGTGTAAACTGCTTTGAGTCCCCCTAGGGGTGAGAAAAGTGGTATATAAATACCGTAAATAAATAAATAAAAATAATAGCAAACATCAAATATTTTCAGACTACTCCTTTGCATTTAACACAGTGGCATGACAAAAGTGACATTTGAAATATTGGTGTTTTTCAGTGTGGATACGTGTTTGCTCACAAAAACAAAATTTCCTAAAGATGGAGTTGAAGTAGATATATTTCTTGTAGTTGATTATCCTAACTCTAATATTACAGATTCTGCTCCCCTTGATTCAAATAATTTCCAGAATAAATAAAATTTCCAGAATTCTTGTACATACACTCTTCACATTTTTCTCCAGAGTAGCCAAAATCACACCTAGAAGCAAGCAAACAAAAAGTTACACAAAACAATTGACTAAAGAAAACAGAAGTTACAGAAAGGTAGTGATTTCAGCTTAGGTTATACAGAGTTTCCCCCCAATGTTTTCCCCTTATGACCTGGTTCTGGTAGTGCCAGCACAGTGCAGCACACATATGATGACTTTAGGACTAGGTGTCATGTTTTAACAGTTTTATGGTATTTATATGTTTTTATTGTTTAATTGCTATATGATGTATTGTATAGATTGTTGTTGAACAATCTATACAAACCTGAAGGTGCAGGTTCGCAGTTTGGGAGTTCTCCTAGATTCATCGCTGAGCCTGGAGCCCCAGGTTTTGGTGGTGGTCAGGGGAGCTTTCGCACAATTAAAACTTGTGTGCCAGCTGCGCCCGTACCTTGGGAAGTCTGACTTGGCCACGGTGGTCCACACTTTGGTTATATCCCGTTTAGACTACTGCAACGCTCTCTATGTGGGGTTGCCTCTGAAGACTGCCCGAAAGCTGCAGCTAGTCCAACACTCGGCAGCCGGACTACTAACGGGTGCTGGGTACAGGGAGCACACCACTCCGCTGTTACACCAGCTCCACTGGCTGCCAATTAGCTTCCGAGCACAATTCAAAGTGCTGGTGTTGACCTATAAAGCCCTAAACGACTCCGGCCCTGTTTACCTCTCCGAACGTATTCTCCCCTATGAACCATCAAGATTATTAAGATCATCTGGAGAGGCCCTGCTCTCGGTCCCACCGGCCTCGCAAGCGCGTCTGGCGGGGACGAGGGACAGGGCCTTCTCGGTGGTGGCCCCTCGACTCTGGAACTCTCTCCCACTGGAGATCAGAACCGCCCCGTCTATCCTGACATTTAGGAAACAGGTGAAGACTTGGTTATGGAGACAGGCATTTGACGAGTGAGCCAACACCCTGAGATATGGATGGAGGATGATGAACAACGATTTTAGTGTGACGACTGACCATTATAGTTATTGATTGTAATTGCTGTTTTAATATTTTACTGTAACATGTATTATGATGTTTTATTGATTGTATGTGATATTATGGTTGGAAACCAGTCTGAGTCCCTCAAGAGAGGTGAGAAGGCCGGTATACAAAACTTTTAAATAAATAAATAAATTGAATGTGCGGCATTGAATATTGCCGTATTGTAAGCTGCTCTGAGTCCTCTGTGGGGTGAGAGAGGTATAGAAATATAGCAAATAAATGGTAAATAAATAACTATGTAGTGATTTGTTTTATTAAGTACCAAGTGGGAAAGAGATCATTGTGACTAGTAGAACATTCCTGCATTCCTATCGATTGGATGGGTTTTCTCCCTGCTCTTCCTGTCATTACATATTTCTGTCCATCACAATCCCATCTGACTACTCCATAACTCTTTTCTTCCTTCTTCCTTTAGCATCAAAGCCTTCTATGCCACCCCTCAAAGCAGTTTCCAGCAGTAATAAAAAAGGAGAGAACCACAATTTATACCCCACATACTTGTTTGATATTGGTAGAACAACTAAATACTTACGCCTTGCAAACTCCACCCTGTTCTCGATAACCAGCCATACACTGGCACACCGGAACTTGTTTGGCAGAAATGGAACAGCGTTTATGTTTCTCTGGGGAACACTCTGTGGTGTCACATACTATATTCAAAGCAGGAGACAAGGATAATGATATTTAGCAGTCTAAATCATTTTTCTGAAAGTCAAAGTCCATGGAATTTGCATTATATCCAAACATGTACAATGGTAGACCCTTTGTTCTCCAAATGTCCTCTTTTTGATCCATATCAGGATTGCCCTGTCTCTCCTTTCTCCCAATGGCTTGTGAGGGAGTAGAGTAGGAGAAATAGGAACAATAGTACATGCTGCCTAATAGTCCATACACATTTGACTGAAAATGTGGACGTATCTGTTTCTTACACTTCACTTTCAAGCTCAGATTTGTTTATGAGGGACTCCTACCATGTTCTTAGCCCCTACAAGTGTTCTGACTCAACAGCTGATCTTCTGCCATCTCATATTTCCAAATGCCTTTAATGTATCCCAGTTTGTCTGTTCTTCTCCGAGTTTCCTCCTATGTCCTGTGACCTTTCCCTCTCCACCACTACATGACAATACCATATTTACTTTGTTGCACTGGAAACTGAGTTAAGCTTACATATGTATTTTGGATTTCGTCAACTGAGCAAGGGGGAAAGGAGGAAAGGCTTTTCCCAGTAGGCCAAGGCAAAAGCAAACAACTGCAACATCTCCCAGACTTTCTCATGAACCATCTCGGAGTTTAAGATCATTTGGGGAGGCCCTGCTCTTGATCCCGTCTTCCTCGCAGGCGCGATTGGTGGTGACAAGAGACAGGGCCTTCTCAGTGGTGGCCCCTTGGCTGTGGAATTCCCTCCCCAGGGACATCAGATCAGCCCCCTCCCTCCTGACCTTCCATAAGAAAGTGAAAACCGGGACTTCCGGTGGGACGGCATGGCGGCAGGAGTGCCTTGCTGAAGCTCCTCAGCAAGGACCCACGGATCGCGGCCGGGTAGAGCAAGTAGCTCCCCTCCTCAGCCGGATCGAGAGCTGAGGGAACGCGAAACCGGGTAGGATAACCCGAAGGCCCCGAAAGCCACCTTCCCCTCAAGGGTGGGGGCAAAAGGGGTCCGGGAAGATATCCTCCGGTAGCGGGCTGCCCCGCGGGGAGCAGGGGGTAACCCCTGCAGGAACTATCGCCACCCCCCATCTATCTAAGAGCGAAGAATTTTTACTATAAATAACCCTCGGAAATGGAGGGTAGGTAAGGAAATAATATCTTATTTTTCTGATTCCGCGAAGGAAAAAAAAAGGGCACTTGAAAAACGGGGCAAAGACACCCGGCAACTTCCCCCCCCCTCGAGTTCGGAGTTAAACTGTTGTATTTGGCCAAAGGCTGTTTGAAGAACCTGGACGAATTTGGAAGAACTTGGAAACCAGGAGATTTGGAAATTTGTAGAATCTGAATTGATCTGGGAAATCTAGTTCAATATAAAGTTAACTTAAAGTTAATATAAACACAACAACGTATACAACTTTGTGACCTGAATTCAAATTAATTTAAGAGGACAATTCCCCTCCCCTTCTCCATTCCCCTTTTGCCACCCTCTCTCTCTTGGATTTTGTCTATACGAGGCCCTATTGTAGAAAAAGTAAACAATCTCCGACCTTGGCGCCATGATGTTTTGACTCCGAGGCGACCTTCTTGTAAACAAGGAGAGACGAAGCTGTGGATAACAGGAAGGGGAGGAGCCGGCGAGGGACGCCTGGCGGAAGCCCCAGACCGGAAGAATTACTGAGAACACATTAAGCGGAAGGTGGCTGCTGAGGGCGGAAACATAGCATCAGCCATTGTAAAGAAGGGCGGAAGTGTAAACCACAACGGATTGTTGTGGAAGAATAAAAGAAAGTGAGAGAGAGGAGGGAAAGGAATATAGGAGGAGGATAAGAACAGTAATCACAGGATCGACGAGAACGAAGAAGAGACCAGTGAGAGAAGACGGAGGAGGCAACGGAACAGACGGAACGGCGCGGGACAGACGGCACAAAGACAGAGAAGAGCTGGAGACAACGGAGCAGGGAAGAAGCGGCAGGAAGAAAGGAGTGACTAATTGCTTATCGATTATTAGTCTTTAATTAATTAGTTTTTGATTAGTTTTTGATTTAAAAATTCCTAGACGTGTAATTTGTTTTTAATTTTAACTAACTAAATTAATTAACAAAAATTAATCAATTAATCAATTGAATAAAATTGTCTATATAATAGTATATCAAATTCTCTTTTTTTTAGATTTGATCCGTTTGTATTAAGATATTACAATTGATTGATTATATAACAGGTAATTATAGAAATTATATTAGTGACAATTAATTTGTAGTTATATTTAATTGATTATTATAATGACGACACCAAAGGGAAAGTCAGACCCAGTTACAAAGATAAAACAGGACCAGAAGATTGATCAGTCGCTACTGCAAAGAAGAAATTCCCAAGGTTCCCAAGAGCCTACTCTGAAAGATGTGGTCAAAGAAATCCAAAATTTGGCGCTAGCACAATCTAATTTCCAAACGTCATTTGAAAAAGGGATAAAAGATTTAGAGGCAAAACAAGAGAAATGCAACAAAGAGATGCAAAATAAAATTGAAGAATTAAAAGTAGAATTAAAAAATGAATTGAAGAGGGATCTTAAAGAAGAAATTGGAAAAATTGATGTAGAGTTGTCCACGATGAAAAGTGACATAAAAGATCTAAAGGTCAAATCAAAGGAGAAGGAAAAAGTACAGAAGAATATAGAACAAAAAATGTCCTCATGGGAGAAACAAAGATCAAGGCTTGAAAAAAATCAAGAAGTACTGGAGAGAAGAGAGTTGGAGAATTATTTACGCCTCAGGAATCTCCAAGAAAACCCAAATGAAGATATTAGAATGATCGTTCTGGACATTTTGGCAAAGGCATTGAAAAGACCACTGGTTGATTTCGAGAAGGAAGTTGACCAAGTCTATCGAATAACGACTACCTATTCAAGAAAGAATAATACTCCGAGAGATATAATTGTCAAATTTTTGAGGAAATGGACAAAGGAGGAGGTCCTTTCAAGTAATAATAAAATTCCTTTGCAATTTAATGGAATGAAGGTGGTGGTTCTGAGAGAATTCCCAAAGTCAACATTAATGCGGCGCAGACAATATTTTTTCCTCACGGATGAGTTGAGGAAGAGAAATATACGATTTAGGTGGGAACGCACGGAGGGCATAATGGCGACTCTGAATGAAAATAAATATTGGCTGACCTCAGTGGAAAAGGCAAAGGATTTCTATGAAAAATTAATGAAGGATCAAAAACCTGACGCAGAAGAAAAGAAACCGTACGATGGATCCCCAAAACCACAACGCAAATTTGCCGCAGGAGCATCATCAATTACCCCTAGAAAGGGGAAACGCAGCAAAAGGGCCAGATTCACCTCCCCAGACTATGTAAAAACAGGAACGGACGACGACGGAACCTCCAATCCGGATGAAGAGTTAGATGAATCAGGACCTGATGCAGAGGAAACCACCAATGGCAACTGATCACCAAATAAAGGTACTTTCTCTGAATGTTAATGGTCTTAACTCCCCCAGTAAAAGAAAACAGCTATTTAATAGACTGAAGAAGGACAAATATGACATTGTGGCCCTGCAAGAAACACATATCAAGCATAAACACACAGCCCACCTAAACAATCAGAAGATTGGTAAATTGTACTACTCCTCTTTTGAAAAAAAAAAGAGGGGGGTAGCTCTATATATTAAAGATACATTACAATCGGAATTGTCTTTTAAAGACTTAGAAGGGAGAATGATTGCGGTAAGAATGATGTTTGGGAACCAAAGAATATTAATCTGCAATATATATGCTCCTAATGGCCCCAAGACTCAATTTGTGGAGACTTTAAAGGGGAAATTGGAAGATGTAGAATTTGATGATCTAATACTTCTTGGAGACTTTAATGGTATACTTGACAGCCAACTGGACAAAACTAAATTTGCAAAAAAGGGTTCAAAAGGGAAGATAAACTGTTTACCAAAAAAAATGTTAGAATTGAAGGAAGACCAGAAACTTGAGGATGTATGGAGGTGGAAGAACCCGAGTAGGAAAGATTACATTTTTTACTCTCACAGACATAAATCATGGTCGAGAATAGATATGTGTTGGGCCACAAATAATGTCATTACAAAAATCTGGGATATAAATATTTTACCAAGAGACATTTCGGATCACTCTCCACTGGAAATTTTAATTAATCAAAAAAGAATGAAGGGCAGATGGAGATTAAATGAAAACTTAATAAAAAGAGAATTTGATATTCAAAACTATAAGAAGAAAATTAATTGCTATATGGAACTTAACAATACCCCAGGTATGCACCACAATATAATATGGGATGCAGCAAAAGCAGTGATGAGAGGCCATTTCATACAACACAATGCAAGAAACAATAGACTTAAACAGAAGGGTATAATGGAGGTCTTAAATAAATTAAAAATGAAGGAGAATGAATTGAAGATCCAACCAGGTAAAAAAGAACTTATAAGAGAAATTGAAATATTACACCAGAAAAGACGTAATATGGAAATAGAGGAACAAGCCAAGCAGCTAAAATTTTTAAAACAATATCAATTTGAAAGTGCAAATAAAGCCGGTAAATGGCTGTCCAAACAAGTCCGGAAAAAGAAGCAAATAAACCGAATAGCAAAAATCAGAACAGGGGAAACAGAGGTAACAACCGATAAAGAAATCTTAGAGGCCTTTAAATCTTATTATGAAAGATTATATTCTAGTGATTCAATCTCAAAAGAGGAGGTAGTGGAATACTTAAGTAAATTCAACATTCTGAAGATAACAGAGGTTCAAAGAGAAGATTTAAATAAAGAAATAACAGAAGAAGAAGTGGAAGCGGCCATAAGGAGTATGGATGCAAATAAAGCTCCAGGACCTGATGGCCTTTCCGCAGGCTACTATAAAAATTTTACGAAGGAACTGATTCCAACTCTTAGAAAGGTAATGAATGGGATATTCCAAGGTCATGGTATCCCAGAGACATGGAACTCAGCGGAATTAATAGTACTTCATAAAGAACAAACTGATCCTACTGATGTACGTAACTACAGACCTATCTCCCTATTGAATGTGGATTACAAGATTTTTACGAATATGTTGGCTCAAAGATTAAAAGTTTTTTTAAGCAACTGGATAGGGGAGGAACAAGTGGGTTTCCTCCCGAAGAGAAACATGAGAGATAACCTGAGAACGGTTATAGACCTGATTGAATATTTTGATGCCAACCCTCAAAAAGAAGCGGCCTTTCTTGCTATTGATGCAGAAAAGGCATTTGATAATCTTAATTGGGATTTCTTTAAAGTTCTAATGAAAGAAATGGACCTGGGATACCAATTTATCACGGCAGTGGAGGAAATCTATAAAAACCAAAAGGCAAAGGTGCAAATAAATGGCCAAATATCAGAAGAATTTAAGATAGGGAAGGGCTCCAGACAGGGTTGCCCTATTTCTCCCCTGATTTTTATAATGGCATTGGAAATTCTGTTGAAAAATATAAAGGAAGACCGAAATATAAAGGGGGTCAAAATTGGAAAACAAGAATTTAAGGCTAGAGCCTATGCCGATGATATAATAGGGATAATAGAAAATCCACGAGAGAACATTAAAAACTGGCTGCATACGATTGAACAGTTTGGTAAATTAGCTGGCTTTAAATTAAATAAACAAAAAACTACTATTCTAACAAAGAATATGACGAAAGAAAGGCAAGAAGAGTTGAAAAAAATATCGGGCTTGGCAATAGTCAATAAGATGAAATATCTGGGCATATGGATCACTCCGAGAAATGCCCAACTGCTTACGAACAATTATGAAAGATTGTGGAAGGAGATCCAGAGAGATTTAGAAAAGTGGAAACACTTAAACCTTTCTCTCCTGGGTAGAGTTGCCCTGATTAAAATGTCAATCTTGCCGAAGTTATTATACCTTTTTCAAAACATACCAATAATCAGGAATGTGAAGAAATTTGATGAATGGAGAAAGGACATTCTGAAATTTGTGTGGAAAGGTAAAAAAACCAAGAATAAAATACCAAGTTCTGACAGATAAAAAAGTTAGAGGTGGATTTGGTCTCCCCAATTTTAAACTTTATCACGAAGCCAATGCTCTTATTTGGTTAAAGGACTGGATGGCTTTAAAAAGAGAGAAACTACTTACTTTAGAAGGCCATGACCTCCGTGTAGGCTGGCATGCTTATCTGTGGTATGGCAGAGAACAGAAGGAAAGAAATTTTGGAAATCATTTCATTCGGTCCTTGCTAATCAGAACTTGGGAGAGATACAAAAGTTACTTTTATTCTAAAATTCCTCTCTGGATTTCCCCTATGGAAGCTAAACAAAGGAGGTTATTGGGATGGATGACTTGGCCTACATATAAGGAACTTTTAAAAAAGGACTCAATGGTTTTGAAGTCTCTTCAAGAAGTAAATCAGTGTTTCCCGAAAATCACGTGGTTACACTATTTGCAAATAAAAGAACAATACACTCAGGATCTAAAACAGGGATTTCAGATCAAAGAAGTATTCTGGGATAAATTTTTAAGGACAGACACAAAATGCATAACCAAACTGTATGAAAAATTATTAGAGCGGTCGACGGAGACTGAGCTAATTAAAGGATGTATGATTAAATGGGCGGAGAATTTTAAAAGACCTATTGCGATGTGTGACTGGGAAATTATTTGGAAGAAAAAACTGAAGTATACATACGCGATGGATTTAAAGGAAAATTGGCTAAAGATGTTTCATAGGTGGTACATGACTCCAGTAAAATTAAGTTGCATGTACAAGAATGTATCAAAAAATTGTTGGAAATGTAATGAGCATGAAGGGACTTTCTTTCACCTATGGTGGAGCTGCAAAGAAACCCAAATATATTGGAAAAGTATACATGAAGAAATGCAAAAAGTATTCAAAAAGAATTTTCCAAGAAAAGCAGAATATTATCTGTTGGGAATTGTAGATGATGAGATCAAATTGGATTCTAATGAGGACATTTTGTTTGTATATTTAACAACAGCTGCAAGGATGGTCTTCGCCAAGATGTGGAAACAGAAAGACACTCCAAGGAAACTCCACTGGGTAGATAAAATAAAGGAAATAAAAGATATGGATACATTGACTTTTCTTTTAAAAAAGAATACAGGTAATACAATCAGAGAGACGAATTGGTCAACGGTCGAAGATTATATAGATAAACTTACATAAAGAACACGAGGTTATATAGAAGATATGATGGAGACCCCCTTTTCTTTTTTTGAGGGGTTCTCATTATTTTTTGATATACAATCAAAGACACTGTCTGAGCAGAATCAGAAGGAGGTCTCCTTCGTTTTTTTTTTGTTGTTTTTTTTCTCCCCCTTTTTAGGGACTTTTTTGGACTTTTTTTTGGACATTATTTGGATATTATTTTTTTTTCTTTTTTCTCCTTCTTCTCCTCTTTCACAGGGGTTGGACGGGGTATTTTCCTACTTTTCTGTCTTCTTATATTATTCCCCCACTTTCGATGTAATCTTATAAAACTCAATAAAAAATTATAAAAAAATAAAAAATAATAAAAAGCAACAACAACAATACAGACAATAAACAAACTCATAAGAAAAGCAATAAACAGTGACAATAACACCACGACGCATTGAAAACCTATGGCGGGCCAATTGTAATAATTAAAATTTTAAAAATGCTGGGCATGACAAGGTGACATATAACTAGGATAGATATTTGGAGAGAGATGGAGCGAGCAGACAATCCCAGATCATTAGTAAAATGCGATTGGGGACATGTTGTTTAGGGTTTCCTTATTCTGGGAAGGCACACTGGAACAACCACATTTTCAGGCTCCTCTTAAAGACTGCCAGAGTTGGGGCATGCCTAATGTCCTTGGGGAGCGAGTTACAGAGTCGAGGGGCCATCACTGAGAAGGCCCTGTCCCTCGTCCCCACCAATTGTGCTTGCGATGGAGGTGGGATCGTGAGAAGGGCCTCTCCAGATGAACGAAGAGATTGTGTGGGTTCGTACACAGAGAAGTGGTCATGCAGGTAGATGGGTCCCAAACCATTTAGGACTTTGTAGGTAAGCACCTGCACCTTGTATTGGGACCGGAAAATGAATGGCAGCCAATGAAGCTCCTTAAACAGGAGGAGTTGACTTCTTCCTGAAAGGAGCACCATTTAACAACCTGGCTGCTGCCCGTTGGATCATCTGGAATTTCCGAGGCATTTTCAAGGGCAACCCCACATAGAGCGCATTACAGTAATCCAATCTGGAGGTGACTAAGGCATGGACCACCCTGGCCAGATATGCCTTCACGAGGTACGGTCGCAGTTGGCGCACGAGTCTTAGTTTTGCAAAAGCCCTCCCGGCCACCGCCGACGTCTGAGCCTCAAGTGTCAGAGATGAGTCCAGGAGGACACCCAGACTGCAGACCTGTGGCTTCAGGGGGAGTGTCACCCCGTCCAGCACAGGTTGCCACCCTATGCCCCGATCTGACAAACAATGCTCTTGCCGTTGCCCATTTTTGGCCAAAAGCTATTTATCTGCCTGTGCGCCTTCTATTTTTATCAGTTTTATACTAATTTATGCAATGCTTTTGACATGAAATAAAATAAATAAATTATCTCTATATAGAAAAATCAATTGGAGGGAAGGAGACTAGAGACAAAATTGAAGTCCTTTGGCCACAACATGAGGAGACAGGAAAGCCTAGAGAAGGGAATGATGCTGGGGAAAGTGGAAAGCAAAAGGAAGAGGGGCCGACCAAGGGCAAGATGGAGGGATGGCATCCTTGAAGTGACTGGAATGACCTTGAAGGAGCTGGGGGTGGTGACGGCTGACAGGGAGCTCTGGCGTAGGCTGGTCCATGAGGTCACGAAGAGTCGGAGACGACTAAACGAATGAACAACAACATAGAAAAATCAAAGTAT